ACAAGTCGGTCGTCGCTATTTATTCCCTCATCTATGTTGTTTATGTAAATTGTGAACAACAACGGGCCCAACACTGACCCCTGTGGAACACCGCTTGTGATGTGCCCCCATTCTGATTTCTCCCCGTTTATGCAAACTCTCTGCTGCCTATTTGTCAGCTATGCCTCTACCCAGGAAAAACTTTCTCCTCCTATTCTGTGTGCCTTAAGTTTCCTCAATAGCCTCTGATGTGGAACTATCGAAAGCCTTACTGAAGTCCATATACACAATATCATATTCATTACCATGATCTACCTCCTCAAACACTTTAGTGAAAAAAAGTTAGTAAATTTGTAAGACAGGAACGTCCCTTTGTAAAACCGTGTTGAGATTCAGTAATCAATTTATGCCTTTCAAGATGGCTACGAATTGCCTCGGCAATTATTGATTCCATAAATTTTCCCACTATGGAGGTAAGGCTTATTGGTTTATAGTTCGAAGCCAAGGACCTGTCACCTGCCTTGTAAATAGGTATTACATTTGCCATTTTCCACTTATCAGGCACTTGCCAATTTGTAGTGATATGTTGAAAAGATTAGCCAAGGGTATGCTAAGTTCCTCTTTACGTTCCTTTAACACCCTTGCAAAACAGTTCATCAGGGCCTGGGGATTTGTTAGGTTTTAATTTCTCTTTGTCTGAGGACCATGTCACAGTTACAACAGTCGTGCATAGTTTATTATTGTCCTGTTCTACGTAATCTATTATTTCAGGAATTTCGCTAGTATTTTCCTGGGTAAAAACTGAGAGGAAGTAAGTATTGAAAATTTCATACATATCCTTATCACTGTCAGTGGTAAGTGGGCCTATATTTGTCTCTAATCTTACCTCACTATACCCGAAAGAGCCCTTTTGGGTTAGTCTTCGAATCCCTTGCGACCTTAGCCTCATAATCCCTTTTTGCTTTTCTTATTCCTGTTTTTATTTCTCTTTAATTGAATATATTGATTTCTTAACTGCCCATCTCCTCTTTTGATATGCCTTATATATACTTCTTTTGACCAATGAGATATTTTAATCTATTGTTCATCCATTTGGGATCATTTTTGTTAGATTTAATTTCCCTACTCAGAACAAAAGTTGTCTGGGCAGCTAGAACTATGCTCTGAAAAATGTCATGTTGGCAACCAAGATCACCTCCCTGACCCAGAGTCAGGGAGGTGATCTTGGCTGCTAATATGATGTTTAGACCACCCAGGTAATTTCTCAGTCTCATGAAATCGGCCAAGCGAAAGTCAGGGACAGAGATTTGATTGCAGTTATCTGGGTAATTCCATGATATATTGAAACTAAGTGATTTGTGATCACTTTCCCCAAGCTCATCATTAACCTCAAGATTATTAATTAGTAATTCTTTATTGGCAAGAACCAAGTCAAGCAGATTGTTTCCTCTACTTGGTTCTGTCACAAACTGTTCTAAAAAGCAATCCCGAACTGTATCAAGAAAGTCACTAGACTCGAGATTTCCTGTCGTATTGTTTCCAATCAATTTGTCTAAAGTTAAAATCTCCCATTACCACAACATTATCATATCTAGATGCCTAATGAATTTCGTCCCATAACAGCTTTCTGCACTCCATATCAAGGTTTAGGGGCCTATAAATCACACCCAAAATTAATTTGTCACGACCCTCGAGAAACTGTAGCCAAACAGATTCTGTGTCCAATGTTTCTAATCTTATATCATGTCTAAGACAATTTAAATTATCTCTGACATACATTGCCACTCCACCACCCTTCCTGTTGACCCTATCAGTGTGGAATAGTTTATAACCCTGTATGTTGCATTCAGAAGGCATTTCTCTATCTTTCAGGTTGAACCAGGTCTCTGTTTTTACCAATAATATCTATATTACCTGTGCTTGCAAGTAATCTTAGCTCATTTATCTTATTTCTTAGACTCCTACTATTTGTATAGTAAACCGTAAAGGAGTTAGTCATGCGTTGCCCTCTACTATCTCTTTGTTTATCAGTTGATTTGCCTTTACTAGCAACTTTATTTTGAATATTGTCTTTTAAACATATCCCTGAGGTATCCTGGTTATATCTGCTGTTTTCAACCCTAGTACTGCAGCCTGATTGTTTCCACAGACACCCATACCTCCATAATCTATCAGTTTAAAGTCCTAGACTTTTCACCAATAACCCCCTCAATCGAATTGGCTAATGCAACCACTTCAGCCCCAGAGAGATGAACCCCATCCCTTGCATACATATCACATTTGCCATAGAATATGTCCCAGTTATCAATGAAGGGGATTGCAAGTTCCTTGCAGTACCTGTCTAGCCAGCAATTTATACCAATTGCCCTAGACATCCATTCATTGCCCACTCCCTTTCTAGGCAAGATGCTACATATAACTGGGATCCCTCCCTTAAACCTGACTACTTCTATGGCTGACCTGTACTTATCCAGCAGCTCCTGTCTCCTGCCCTTCCTAATGTCATTACCCCCAGCACTAAGACAGATAATGGGCTTGTTTCCATTACCTGACATCATAATATCCAACCTGCTGACTATGTCACCAACACCAGCTTGTGGGAGGCACACCCTCTGTCTGACCTTTCTATCTCTGTTACAAAAAGCACAGTCCATATATCTTACCTGAGAATCTCCTACAATTATAATATTCTCACCTTGATTAGCAGGGGAATCAGTGGTACCTTCAGCCTCACTAACCGCTAAGTACACTCGTCCAGGAGAACAGAGAATCGATTTCCTACCTTCACATCTTCTCTATTAACCCTCCTTATCTTCCTTTTTCCTGAACTGTGAACCACTTGCCACTTAACCCTTAAACGGCCCAAACAGATCGACGTTCAAATTCGTAGTGCTACAAAAGTAGATCTACTTTTTTTTACATATTTTCAAATATAAAAAAAAAATGTAGATAAAAGTTTTTTTTACACGTTTTCAAATGTAAAACAAAAAAGATGATCTATATTTTTTTACATACTTTCAGATGTTGAAAAAAACGTATATGTACGTTTGGACCATTTAAGGGTTAAAGTGGCTGCCACTCTCACTGCTGGTGACCATTTCCTCCTTACCAGCTAAATCCATCTCACATTCACTCAGCCTCCTATTTTCCTCCTGAAGAAGTAGAACCTCCTCCTTCAACACTTGAACCTGAGATTCTAAAACACTACAACAAGCCATGGTGCTTGGGAACACCCCACACTAACCCGCAAGAGTTTAGGCAGGTATAACCACACATTTCAATTAATTTAAATTGAGGAAAATTGACTCAGTATACGAACAAATCAGGATACGAACAAGGTCACTGAACGGATTAAGTTCATAAGCCAAGGTTCCACCGTTCATGTTATGGTTTGATAACAAAATAATGAACAAACAAAACACTCACCACTCGTAAGGTTAGCAGATGAACTCTGACGACTTGTGAATGATGACAGTGACGATGGTGATGAGTGATGATAGTTATCCATGAAGTTACTGATGACAGTTGAATGGAGGTGATTATATGGAGTGTAACTGCATGGCATGATGAGTCCAGTGGTGGATTCTAACTCATCACTGTCAATAGTAGGTGGTGATGGGAAGCATTTTCCCGTACTTTTTTCCACATTTGTTTGATAAATATGATTGGGTGGCTGGGCATCACAAATGTTCAAAGCTAGCGAAATTGGAACTCGCGAAAGTGGAGGGCTAGCTGTACAATGTTATGGTAGTTTGTAGGTTTGAGACTAGACCCTCCAGTATTTTTTATCCCTGGTCTTCCACTCTTCCTCAAACTCCCATAGAAAATTAATTACCCATCTTGTTCCATATAGTTCTACTTAACCAAATTAACTTCTGTATCTTCATCTCTTTCACTCGTTCTATAAACTGAAGACATTGAAACTGCTTAAGAAATCATGCTTAACTGAATATCACTGAATCACTTTGAAGTATTAATGCATACTTAACATTGTACTACTGTTCATTTAGTTACCTCCTTTTTTGTACAGTTAAAAAACTCGTACTTAATAACTTATGTCTAGTCTTGGGTAGTCTTTAAGCACCACATGTTAGTGGCTTTCTTTTGTGCCAAACTGTATTTTATTACATGTAAACTACATTACCTGTATACTGCGGAAAAGAAATTTTCTTATGTACTGGGTATATATATTAAGCATTTCTTCTCACTCGAGAGAGTACATTCAATGTACTCCGAGGCATTCCCAGTAGTTTAAATGCTATAATGGCTCTGTGGACAGTAAACTATTTCCATTCCTTTTCCAGGTCTCATATCTCCTGCCTTGAACAGAGCTGTCAGCACTGACAAATATTCTAAATGAGAGAGCACAAGTTATTTGAATGGTGTCACCACTTGCATTATTTCTCTTGTTTTGAAAGTTCTCATTTTCCATCCTGTCATATTTTTTCTAGACTTTGCCCTATTGTGTTTTCTTAATGGTAGGTCAGCTGACATTGTTACACCCAGGTGTTTTACATGTTCCTTCCATTCTGAGATGATCTTCCCGTGTTTTGTATCTGTGTTCTTCATTCTTTCTATATCATTTTCCCCTTATATTGCACATGTGTATCTCTTGAAGGGGGGTTTCTTGATGCAGGTGAAGGGCTCTTATTAAAAAAATTTAAAATATGCTTCCTTTGGATCAGTCCTGATTACTTCCTGTTACCAAAGTACACCCATGGTCCTTCAGGTTTAGCACCTCCTCATGAATATAATAGTTGCACATAGAACAAGCACATACTATTGCTTCATAGGCTGTTTATCTTTGTTTTATAAAGATAAAAATGCTAAAAAAAGGTATAAATATGTCAATGAGTTATTGACAAAAAGTGTGGGAAAAGATGCTCTTGTGAGATAAATTATTGTAAATTATGTATGTTTTTCGGGGAAAGATGAGATTAATTAAAAGGCTCTGATTCACTGAATTTACTCAAGTGTAAATAGAGGTTACTATACAAAGATGGTTTCTTTTGTAATTTCAGGAGGTGTTATCAGAACCATGGCGCCTCAGCACCTCTCAGACCCCACATGGTCAGACTACCAAAATGGATTTGACAAAGAACCCTAAATGTATCAGTGCTGGGGGTGGCTTTGGTCCTGTTGCCGATGATGGTTATGGTGTGTCTTACATAATAGCTGGAGAAGACACGCTCTTTTTCCACGTGTCTAGCAAGAAGAGTTCTCCTGTTACAGTGAGTATTGCTTTCTGTGTAATATTATTCATTATCTTTTTACCCTTGAGTCACTTTCAGGAGTGTAAATGCAGCTGGGAGTAAAGGATCAAAAAGAGTTGTAGGAAAAATAAAGATTATATACAGAGGAACACCCAACAGAAAAGTAGCACCTTAACTAAATAATCACATCTATATTTTGTTCATTTCCTAGATCTGCAGAGATCTCTGAATGGTAATAATGAGATGAAGAAGACAAGTAATGTGTATAAGAAACCTGCATATCTTGTATATTTATAAAAGAGCATGAGCAACATTAGAAAGTGTAATAAAAAAGACTGACTACAAAAATTTAAGGAAAATAAATTGCAGTCTTTGGACCAACATTAGCCAGCCTAGCAGCAGTCACAACCTCTCAGCTTGTTAACCCTTTCACTGTTGTGACCCCTGAAATTGTTGTGATTTTTTACAAAAAAAATAATAGAGAATCTTTTTTGAAGTTAATGACACCAAAAACACAAAATATGATGCAAAGCTTGCAGAATTATGCAAGTGCCAAACAGGTGGTCAGGGCACAATTTACACATCGGCAATTTGTCACCTTAGTCCTATTTTAAGCCAATTTCAATGCTCAATTCTACCCAATTTCTAGCCATCTCCCTAATATAGGGTGTCCACAAAAACACTTCCTGATTTCAAACGGGTAAAACATGCAACTTTATTGTAATCTTTCACAGTTAGTAGCTTCAAATGCAGGATATCATTCAGTTTCATGTGGTATAGGGTAGCATTAAAGGCACTCAGTGTGCGCCCCTCTGGTTGGTCGGCAAACATCGATGTGATAGTCCTGTTCGGTCCAGACGCTCTGCAGCATATCTGGTGTTATCATGCAAACTGCTTCAGTGATCGAAATTTTCAACTCCTCCAGGGTTGCAGGTAATGGTGGTATGTGAACTGTGCTCTTCACATACCTCCAAAGATAGAAGTCACAAACAGGTCCAGTGGCCTCTGCAAGTGGCCTGCGAGGTCACCGAACCTAACTGTTTCTGACTTCTTCCTTTGGGGGTACGTGAAAAGCACAGTTTACGTCCTACTACTACCTGCAACCCTGGAGAAGCTGGGCGCACATTGAGTGCCTTTACCACGTAAAACTGAATGAAATCCTGCATCTGAAGCTACTAACTGTGAAAGATTATTACAATAAAGTTACATGTTATACCTGTTTGAAATCAGGGAGTGTTTTTGTGGACACCCTGTATATCTTCCATTCTGTCGATTAAGCACAAGAAACTGCCCATTCAACTATTAGAACTATCCTATAATGTGCTCAAAAGTTAGTAATTTGGCCAATTTTACACTAGCCAAAAAATTCTAACTTAAAAATAATCTAAAACTCTGTATTCATTCCAGCCCTTAAAGCAACCTTTCCTCTTTTCAGAATCAAAGTTTTACCCTATTTCTTGGCTAATAAAGTATAATCAAGATTGTATTAATGTTGGTAGAATTACTGACGATATGTCAAAGGGCACAAGTGCAACTAATGTGACATTTTATTGTGGCAACGTTTTGCTCTCAAGGAGCTTTGAGGGTATATATAGGCTTAGAATGAAGTGTAAAGCAAAATATAATCATTGTAGAAGTAGTAGTTGTAATACTAGTGGTAGTAATAATTCATGTGGCAGTAAAAGTCGACTTGTACATGAGTTAAAAAGGTTATTGAAGCTTATTGCTTGGGTAGCATTAAAAAAGGTTGAGCAAATATTTTTGTTAGTGGGTTGGATTTGAGAAGGCCTATTTGTGTTCCTCCTCTTTTATGTTCTTATGTAGTATCAGCAGCAGCAACTGTGTGATGGCAGGGTTTATTGTTTTGAGGAGGATTCTTGCTAATACTTCAGAGATGTTGAAGCTGCCTTTGCTTTGCTTAATTGTGTTAGAAATAGTGATTAATGATGATCCAAGGCATTTACATCTTCAGAAATTAAGTTCTTTGATCATTAGTCGGGCGTCGTTGAATTTCATGAAGTGATTGGTGAAATTCTGGTATTGTATGCAGGTGTTATTAAAGTTATTGTTCTTACATGCATTAAATGTTCATTGAGACATATTTTGAGGTTTCTTGTTGTTTCACCTGCATACATTCTGTCACAGCCTCCACAGGGTATAGAGTAAACCCCTGCATTGTATATACACTCATCAAGAAACTTGGACTACAAATTCAGTATGGTCTTAGGAAAAATCCAATTGATGCCTCTTTTGGTCTTAGTATCTTGACTGGCAAGACTCAGTGCAGTTGAACTGGCTATCCAGTTTACACTAGAAGAGTCCAGTGACAAGTTACCTTTTCTAGATGTCCTCATTCACAAAGTAGATTACACTCTAAGATTTCAAGTTTACCAGAAACCTAGACACTAGATACTGTACTAAGACCAAAAGAAGCATCATCATCGGATTTTTCCTAAGACCATACTGAATTTGTGGTCCAGAGTTTCTTGACAAGGAGTGTACATACATACATCAAACCTTCACTGTTCTACATTTTCCTTCCATTTTCATCAAAGACTGCAAGAAAGGAGCCCTTCAGATCATTAATTCTCTACACACCAACACCACTCCTAACAATTATAATCCTTCCCAACAGCCAGGTTGCACTGAATGTTTCTAAAGTATTTGTGCGAGCTACCACTAGTCGCCATCACAACCAGCACTTCCATGAGGGATAAAACCAAGACAAAATCGAAGCACCATGAACCAGTCAATGCAGGGTTTACACTATACCCTGTGGAGGCTGCGACAGAATATACAGTAGAACCCTGGATTTCACATACACTGGATTTCGGATTTCAGACACTTTTTTATGCGAAATTTTGCTTTGAATTTCGGCCCGAGAACTGTTCAACTGCCTCCCAGCATACATAAGGGGGATTACCAATAGACCCCTGGCTGTCTTCAAGCAGGCACTGGACAAGCACCTAAAGTCAGTACCTGACCAGCCGGGCTGTGGCTCGTACGTTGGATGTGTGCAGCCAGCAGTAACAGCCTGGTTGATCAGGCTCTGATCCACCAGGAGGCCTGGTCACAGACCGGGCCCGTGGGGGCGTTAACCCCCAGAACTCTCTCCAGGTAAACTCCAGGTTATCAGACATGTCCATCCGCCGGGATGCCACTTCGTCTGGCTCTGTCACTGGTTGAGTGAGCATTCATCCGAAACATTTCGCCATTTTATGTGCTTGTTTATTGATTGTGACTGCGAAATAAGCCACCATGGGCCCAAAGAAATTCCTAGTCCCTTTGGTAAAGGGCTGAGAGAGAGGGGAGAATGCGTCTTCTTCAGTGATTCTACGGTATGTATGATACTAAAGCATCAGGAGTCGATAAAGGCTACAGTGCCAGCCAGCGATAAAGTGTAGCATTAACAGTGTAGCAGGTAAGTTAAGCTATTAAGCAATAGAAAAAGGACGACACAAAACTCCTCCAGTGTTGTTGGAGGTATATAGGGCCACTGACAACATATGCCACCCTGCTTATCTTCCACCACCCTAAACCAATGCCATTATCTCCTCCAAGGTAAGTGTAAATATTTCTTATTTATAAATTACGTACATTGTTTGTGCGAATAGTAGTGGTGGCCTTTGCTGCCACCGCCACCACCACTATACGTACGGCTTGTGCTGTCAGTGTGGCCCTTATAAACCCAACGACAACACCACCACCACCACTCCTCACATACGTAATGACATATTTTATTCATTGTAGAGTTTGTATCATGTTTCTGTGTTAATAATGTTGTGTATTATGTCATATTAGATGAATTGTGATAGATAAATAAGTCATAGAGTTGATATCAGCGTGTCATATTTAAGTATTTTGTCCTGTCTCCAAACACACTCCTCCCAACAAGAGTCTTCAATAAAGGTATGTAATAGTGATTTAAATGTTCATTTATCCATTTCATTAGTGCTTTATATTTATTTCTCATTGTTTTCTGTAAGTAAAACTATAGTTATTCTTTAAAAAATGTATTGTTAATATTTTTGGGTGTCTGAAACAGATTAATTGTATTTACATTATTTCAGATTTAGAACGACCTTCTGGAACGGATTAAGTACGAAATCCGGGGTTCCACTGTACTTGGGTGAAACAGGAAGAAACCTCGAAACACGTCTCGATTAACACATTAATGCACATAGGAACGATAACTTTAACAACACCTGTGTACACTACCGGAATTCCACCAATCACCTCTTGAAATTCAACAACGCCTGACTAGTGATCAAAGAACCTGATTTCCATAGACATAATGCCTTAAACCAAGGGTCGGCAACCCTGGCCTGTGTGAGGTTTTCATCTGGCCTGCCACTTAACAGCTGGACACTAATTATCTAATTAGTTTCGAATACAGATGCAGTAGTTCACTTCAAGGTTAAGCAGCCCCTGGAAAAGTTACTTCGTATCCTCCCTCCTCAGAGTTTTTCATTTGAGTTTGTTGTCTGGTGGTAAAACAACTGTACAGTAGGAAATCTGCATTCAATAATAATGTTTATTTAATTATTATGACAGGGTGGATAGAGGGGCAATGTGGCAGATGTTGCAGGTGTATGGTATAGGAGGTAGGCATACTGAAATCAGTGAAGAGTTTTTATGAAGATAGTGGGGCTCAGGTTAGAGTATGTAGGAGAGAGGGAGATTATTTCCCAGTAAAAATAGCCTTAGACAAGGATGTGTGATGTCACCATGATTGTTTAACCCTTTCAGGGTCCAGAGGCCAAATTTCAAAGGGTGCACCAGTGTCCAAAAATTTTTTCAAAAAAAAATTTTGTTAGTTATTTTTTCTTATGAAAGGGTAGAGAATCTTTTTCTGAAGGTAATAAAACAAAAAGTACGAAATTTGATGGAAAATTGATGAAATTATGCTCTTGTGAATTCTGATGTGTCAGCGATGTTTACTAATCGGCGATTTTTAACGACTTTGACTCCGATTTTAGGCCAATTACATTATTCCAGCCGACCAGATTCTTAGCTATTTCACTAGTATTACACTATTTTATAGAATGAGCACAAGAAATCGCCCAGTCAACTGTTTCAACTACAAAATAGTGATTGGAAATTGGTAATTTGGCCAA